AGAGAGGCCTGGAAGGCCGGGGGAGAGGGAGGCGCTGCACTGGCAGCCTTGGGAGTGCAGGGAGCAGGCTGTGGGTGTGGGGTGGACAGGGCCGCCTGCGGGAACTCGCGCTGTGTTGCTGTGTTGGTTGAATGAGGGGAGCAGCTGCCCAAGGCCTTGGTAGGCTCAGGCCCTGCACAGTGAACAGGGACAGATTCTGCCTTCACAGCCTGAAACAGATGCTGTCGTGTTCAAGAGACGTTTCACTCGTGGTCCTGATGGCTTCCCCTTGGCTCAGCATGTGCCGTGCCTGTGACTGTCCTCACATTTCACCTTGAGACTGTGTCCTGGGGGAGATATGAAATTTGCTCACGAAGAGAGAGTGCAGTGGGCAGATCGGGACTGGGCCTCCTCCCCCCAGCTCCCCAGTTGTCCGGTAGTTCGGCAGCCACACCCGCCAACTGCTCCCAGCGTCATGTAGTCCATCAACAGCCAAGGTCCAGAGACTGTAAACTAAAGCTCCCAGAAGAAAGCAACGCGGTACTTCCTGGAGCAACCTCTTATACTCTAGCCCACTTACTTAGTAAAAGGTAAAAGGTAAAGGCCCTCCCGTTGATCGTCGATTTGCTCGAGCGGGCCCAGTAACGTCTCCATTGGAGACTTTGTTGTTACTGTGTCTGGCATATCGAATACTCTCGGTAGCTTGCCGGGCTCTCCGAGAGGGGCGGAGGAATCGAACTCGGGTCGGCCATGTTGGCCGCTTGTAAGGCGAACGCCCTACCGCTGTGCTATCACTCCAGCCCCACTTACTTAGTAGCACACATTTTTTTTTTTAAATATACTTGCTTGTATTCTCTTATATTCGGGCTTAAATGGCTCCGGCATGAAACACAACAGCCTTCACACACTTCCCTCTTATTGTGGTGGGATTGGTGTTTGCATGTTATCTATGGTGAACGATTGTGAACTCCTTTATGAAAATAAAATATATTAAAAATTGAGAGTGCAGCGGGTAAGCACTTGGCCTTGCACGCCTTTACCCTGGGTTCGATCCCTGGTCCTCACAGCCCCACAAGCCACGCCAGAGTGATCTCTGAGCACAGAGCCAGGAGTCAGCCCTGAGCACTGCCAGGCATGACCCCAAAAACAAGCAGGAAAGAAATTTCCGACGAAATGGGCTTTTCCTTGTCACGCATTGTGCTTCTTGAGTATCCCAGTAATTTGGGGGCCTGGGGGACTTTCAATTTGGAAATCATTTCAAACGTTAAAAATGGCACGGATTATTATAAAGAACTCTGCAGTCTGCATTCGGGGATGCACTCGTGGTCTGTTACGCTCTTTCGTGAGATTTGTCATTTTCCCCATTTGGTTTTTGCTCTTTACGCTCCTGCCCACAGGAAGGTAGGGGGTGAGGGGACTCTTTCTCAGCTACATTACCCTCCCCCGCCCCCCAAAATGTTGGAGAGGAAGTTGCCGGCATTGGGGAACTCTGTCCCTGACCGCTCTCCCAAAGACACCCTCTTGCAGGCCTGTAGGCGCCTCCATCCTGGCTTTGTACTCCACATCCCGGTTCTGGTACCAGATCCAGTGTGCTGGTTAGAGCGTTCCCCCTGGGACAAGACCCAGTCTGTGATCTTGCTCTTCGGACTCTGACAATGTTTGAAGAACACCGAAACCGCCACCCCCTTGCCTCCCCCCCCCAAAAAGCTCTTTATTAGGTTTGCCCAATGTTTCTTCATAACCGACTTCAGGGCGGCTTCCTGTGTGACGTGAAGAACACTGACAGACACTCTCAGCGGATGTGGGGCTCTGCAGGTTCCCCTCAGCCGCGCTGGATTTGCTGGTTGCCACGGGATGTGTTCCAGCATCGGCTGGCTCACTCTCGCTCTCTCTCCTCTCTCTCTGTCTCTGTCTCCCTCTCTCCTTCTCTCTCCCTCTCCTCTTCCTCTCCCTCTCCTCTCCCCTCTTCTCTTTCCTTGCCCTGTCTCTCCCTCTCTCTCCCTCTACTTCTCCCTCTCTCTCCTCTCTCCCCTCCCTCCCTCTCTGTTTCTGTCTCTCCATCCCGGTCTGTTTTCAGCTTTGCCGTTCCGTAGTCAGCCTCCCTCTCTCCTGTCTACTGGATCTTGACAGAGACTCGTTGGTTCCATGGCAGGGCCCAGGAGCCAGCCTGAGGAGTTTCCCTCGGCCATGGCAGGACACTGAGCACCAGAAAGCTCAACGCAGTAGCTAAAGGACAGTCATGTCTCCTGAGCCTCAGAGACGTGCAGGAGCCGTGCATCTCTGCGTCTGCTTCCATAAGGCCGAATATGTAGGTTTTCTTTTTTTTTAAATGGTAGGCCTTTTTCAGCACCTAGGTCTCAGAAAAATTCACCTGTGTCTCCCTCTGTTACTTAACGTTTTTCGTTGAGATATTTGATCCGCGTCCTTTGATGTGGGGTGAGGGTCGGCTGCATCTTACGCTTCTCTAGTTGTGCCAGCACCAGTTTTCTTGTGCTTTGGTTTCGCTTTGCCTTTTGGTTCTCTTAGTGGCGCTCGAGGCCACTCCTGGCTCTGTGCTCAGGGATCACTCCTGGCGGGACTATTATGGGTACCGTATGGGGTACCAGGGATCAAGTCTGGATCAGCCGCATGCACTGCAGAACCAGTTTTTTTTGGGGGTGGTGTTGAGGTCAAACTTGAGGCCCCACACATCCATGGCGAGTGATCTCCCTGAGGCTGCAACCCTGGCCTAAAGCCCGTTTTTCTCATCACGGACAGCAGCTTTACCCCCCACTCAGTTTCCGAAGAAATCGGGGCTATTTCTGGACTTTGTATTTCTGGACACATCTTGAATGACAGCGGTTTCAGCTGTGTCTTCATTGAACATAACCATCTCAGAACTTATACCAACTCCCAGATTTTACAACAAAGGGATGTTCAGCCCTCTTTTCCCTAAGTAACAGAAAAGTGGGTCCTTGTGACTCCTATCCGTTAAAGTTTTTAAAATACATATTTTTTTTAAAAAAGACTTAAATGTTTCAGTCTTTAAAAAAGAAATTACTGTGTCGGGCTAAGTGTGGGTTTTGCATGCCAACACCTGGGTTTGATCCCCAACCACCACAGGAGGGACACACACCCACCCCCCCCCCCGCCCCCAGGTATAGAATTTGGAGTAGCCTCTGAATCCCACGGATGTGACCCTCCCAGCTCCACCACACACACAAATCACACACACCTGAAAGGACTTTATAAAGTTTTTTGTCCATTTTAAATGGTAAACAGTAACATAAATTTTAATGCCTCCCAAAGGGTCGCCTATATATATATTTTTTTCTTTTGGGTCACACCCAGCATTGCACAGGGTTTCTTCCTTTCCTCCTGGCTCTGACTCAGGAATCACTCCTGGCAGTGCTCTGGGGATCAAACCTGGGTCAGCTGCGTGCAAGGCAAACGCCCTCCCCGCTGTACTGTCTCCCCCCGTCTCTTCTTCATATCCTTTAGTAAAACAGGAAGCTTTTCTGTGACAGTGGCTGGAGAAAAGACGGCCGGGAAACCTGCAGCCTTGGGTCCCTGAGCTGACCCTGACCGCTGGTGCTGAGACTCATCCAGGGAAGCAGTTGTCTGGGTGACGTCCAGGGATGTGAGGCGTGAGTGGGTGGGCAGCAGCCCAGGGTCGCCTCCTCGGAGAGCTGAACGAGGACATCCCAGTTCTCTCTGCCTCTCACACCCACCCCTCCCCTGCCAAGTAGAGTGACTTGGTTTCTTTTTTTCTTCCTTAATGATTTCATTTTCACACCCGGCAATGCGCAGGGGTTCCTCCTGGCTCTGCACTCAGGAATCACCCCTTGCTGTGCTCAGGGGACCATATGGGATGCTGGGAATCGAACCCGGGTCGGCCGTGTGCAAGGCAAATACCCTACCTGCTGCGCAGCGGGTAGGGCGTTCGCCTTACACGCGGCCAACATGGCCGGCCCGAGTTCGATTCCTGCGCTCCTCTCGGAGAGCCCGGCAAGCTACCGAGAGTATTCGATATGCCAGACACAGTAACAACAAAGTCTCCAATGGAGACGTTACTGGGCCCGCTCGAGCAAATCGACGATCAACGGGAGGGCCTTTACCTTTACCCTTTTAATGATTTCATAACCTGGGCAAACTAATTTAAGAAAAAATTGATTTATGGGACCCATTTAGAGGAGACAGACTTCACACTGGTCATATGATCTCTGTTTTTACCAAGTTGTATTTCGGGGAATTGTTTATTTTGTTGTTTGAAGGAGAAATCAGAACATGGTCTGATCCAACATGGCAGATTGTATAGCGCTTTCCCGTGGAAGCCAGGTTTCATGGTGACTGTAGCACATATCACCTTCTTGAAAACAGGAGAACTTTGAGTTTCATTTTGGGGGGATCTGCCCTGGAAGTTCGTTCAAATGTCTGAGCCAGGGGATGTGGACAGTGGTAAGGATACCTCAGTTCTGCTGCGTCTACAAAGATGACGGTGCTGCCCCTGGGCTGACGTCATGAGGATGGTCATTGGGGTTCAGTGCCCCTGCTTGTCCCTCCTACTCATCTCTTACAGTAGCAGCCCTTCCCTCCCCCCCAAAAAAGCATGTATGGGGGCACCCGGACAGTGCTCAGAAGGCTCTGAGGCCCCACTGGTGATTCTTGGCCATCCAGGCTAACAGTCAGTGCTAGGGCCCGGGCAAGGATGGGTGCTACTCGGTCCTGCAGTGTTGGGCATTGCCCAGATCTCCTGGGCAGTGCTTGGGGGACTCAACCCGGGTAGGGTGTGTGCTCAGCATGGGTCTCACCCCTGTACCATCTCCTGGCCCCTCTCTTTGAGGCTTGTCCCCTCCAGGGCAGAGGTCAGCTGTGGGTGCAGGAGCCCGATTCAGAACTTGCTCCGTGTCGGAGGCTGGCCCCCACTTCCCAGTCAGGACCATGGCCTGCGGGAGGATGCCCTGAGTTTGTCCACCCTGTGCTCGGGCGCATCTTCCTGCTCCTCCTCATTCTCTTCTTGCTGTTCTCTGTTTGCTCTGCAGCCTCACAGTGCCCGGCTCGGGAGAAAAGAGGACCGTGAGTCCCAGCCTGGCCGAGGCAGACTCGGAGGCTAGGGTCTCGGAGCTCTCGGACGCTGACCTGGAGCCGACGGAGCCCAGCACAGAGGCACTCTCGGAGGGCAGGAAGAAGGCCAAGAAGTTGAAGAGGATGAAGAAAGACCTGTCTCCCCCAGGTTCGTACTGCCCGTTGCAGAGCAGGGCGCTGGCTTCTCTGGAAGGCTCTAGAAACGCTTGGGGTGACCTTACGGCTGTGTCGCCGCCCGTGGCCAGGCCCAGGGCATTGTCCTCTGGGCCCCGCCCTTCTCAGGGTCCCCAAACGGCTGGGAAGATCAGGGCTCCCGGTGAGAGACAGTGGCCGCCTTCCCCCTGCCATCACCCCCAGGCTTTGCCGGGATGTCGCAAGTGGCCTCGATGTCGCAAACGTGCCTTGGAGTCGGCACCGAGGCCGACTCCCACACGGGTTATTTTCAGTCACAGCCTTTGCTGTTCCCAGCAACCTGGATCGCGCTCATCCACAGAATTATGTAAGGAGCAGAGGCGATAGGGCCCGAGCCCTGGCTGTGAGCCTACTGTGCCATTGGAGGGGCCATCGGAGGGGCCCGGGCGAGCTCGACCTGCCCACAGCCCTCTCCCTCCCCGATGTCCCCAAGACTCAGCCACGCAGGCCGAGGAAGGGGCTGCACATCAGGGACACAGCCAGACAGGCAGTGGGCACAGAGGTGGGCACACGGGAGCGGCCACCAAGCCCCTGCAGAGGGTCCTGGAACTCTGCCTGACGTGCATCTTTCTGGGTCAGTCTCCCAGTGGGCGAGACCTTTGGGAAAATCGGGGGCAGAGGGTGACGTGGGTCATGTGACTGTTGGAGGTCACCAAGCCTTTCCGCTCGTCTTTTCCTCTCTGGAGCCGCCTCCCGTGGGACCTCGGCCGCACCCGTGTGATGCTGGCACTGACCCACTGGGCACACTCATCCGAGCCAGGCGGGTCCTGCTTGAAGGCAGCTTTCGGCACGCAGTGGACCCTGGCCTCCTGGCAGGCCGCACCAGAGCCCACAGCCTTTTCCTCGGCCTCCTTTGTCTCCCTCCCAGGGGACAGATGGCCTGCGGACCAGAACCTACAGCTGGTTCAAAGGGAAGGAGAAAAGCAATGGAGATCGATGCATACGGCAATGGAAACTGGTACACACTCATGTGCATGCTCACACACACACATACACACACACGCGCGCGCGCGCGCTCCTGGGCATGCATGCCCCCAGCTGAGAAGTCACTGCATTTTGATTAATTCCTCTCCTCACACGCGGCCGGATGTGATTAGAAGGGGGTACTGAATCTTGCTCTTCACAAAATCAGAGCAGCAGCAAGGGGGTCACTTAAGCTTCTCCTTTTGGCTGAGTCAGCGCTGACAACTCCCTCACGCTTGATAACTTACTGTCCTGGTGTCTGCTGTTCCCCTCTGTCTGTCTGCCTCCCTTCCTTCCCCAGAGTTAAGTACTGGATCTTTTCATCCATACCACAGTGCTTCTTTCTCTTAGAAACCACATCTAACGAGATTGGGGTGATGAAGGGTGGCGGGTGATAATCCTTGTCAAAATGTCTCATTCTCTTTTGGAATTTTTTATTTGCTTATCTCTTGTTAGGAGTGTGTGTGTGTGTGTGTGTGTGTGTGTGTGTGTGTGTGTGTGTTTTCCTACCTCAGCATAATCTCGCAGATATTAAAATACCTAATAATAGGGCACATTAACAGATTAGGTCCTTTTATAACTTCCATCATCTTAAGCAGAAACTTTCTGTGAGTTATTTGGGGTTCTGAATTTAAAATACCTTCATTAAAGGAGTTCGCCCCCCCCCCCCCCCCCATTGACAGGAAAACTGTCACTGCCATGAGCTGCGAGCTAAAAAAAAAAAAAGCCCTCTATGTAGTTCTTCTTTGTCAGCGCTGCTGGAGAAGAAAGAGAAAGGGAGAAACATCTTGACAGCTCCTAATTGAACTGGGTCACTTGAGAGCATGGCACTTTCTCCCGGGGCCCGTTCACCCGGGGAGCTCTGCATGCCATAGCGATGATGCAGGGAGACGCTCTCAGGGCTTGGGGCGTCCCTGCACCAGGAGGTCTACTTGGGCAGGAACCACGCCGGGTGAAAGGTGCCATGTGGGACTGTCGAACCAAGGCACAGCATGTCAGCCTGCCGGGGCTTCGGCCCAGGGTGCGCCGGTGCTGGGGCGTGCTGGGCATTGGCTGAGGTCACTGTCCCCCGGGCGGGCTGGAGGCTTCTCTTCCAGGCAGAGCAGCAAGTAGGAGTGTGGAATGCAGGTGCCGTGGCAGTCATGGGGCAGCTGGCCCCAGTCGGTCCCTCCCGTCCCCCGTTTTTCTCGGTTGCTCTTTATGGTGCCCTAAAGATTAAGTATCCTTCCGGGATAACAGAGCAACCCCAGAGCACCAGTTGTGTAGACTTGATGCCATCTAGCGAGCCTTGTACTAGAAGCATCAGGTTTTACTTTGGCTGGTCAGGATGCAGTTAAGGGCTGCTTGCCCTTCCCAGTTTATGGACGAAATTACACTCGGAGTTATCCATAGGCCAAGTCAGATGTAGCCGACCCCGGGGTCAGGGTCTCCAATCCAGACCACCCCAAGGTGTGTCTGTGTGTCTACCCCTTGAGAAGGTGTCGAAGAGGAAGGGATTCGATACGAAGGCGTATGTTTCTGGAAGTGTTCTGGATCAGAAACAGTGACAAAACTGAGCTTTCAGATGGTGGAGTTAGACCGGAGGGCAGGCTTGGAGGGCTGTATCACCAGCTTTGCCTGTGGGAGCCTTGCCAGATATGACACCCCCCTCACCCCAGCAGAGAAACAAAACAAAACAAAGATGAATCATTGATCGTGTGATTAGAAATCCAAGCCGCCACTCCACTCTGGGACTCCTGTATATGTCACACACGTCACGAGCCCTCTCTGTCCGTCATCCCTCTCGGGCCTTGTTCCTTTCGTGTTTTCCGGAGGCACGTGTGCGCAGAAGTGCCTTCCGCCGGGGCTTGTTGCAATCCGCATGGGCCGACCGTGCTGCGTGCCTACCCAGGGAGGAATGCAGGGAACCAGGTCTTGGTCCAGGCAGGAGAGCAGCTCCGCCCGCGCTGTGTCCTGGAATCAACAATCTCTTGGAACCTTTCCCCAGACGATGAGTCAGGGCTGGGTACCTCCAGCATGCGCAGGCTTGCTCAGTGAGCAGCCTGGGGAAGCCCCGGCCCCCGCTTCTTCAGAAACGGCAGGCTAGTCCCACTGCACTGGCCACTGTCAGGAGACCAGTGGACAGTTCCACAGCCTGAGACACCCCATAGAGGACCACACCTGGGGTTGCTCCCAGTGGAGCTTGCGGGGACCTATGTGGTACCCCGGGAGGCAGGGGTGAGAGGAGGCAGGGAAGGGGGCGGATCTGGCCGCGTGCCAGGCAGCTTTAACCCCTGTACTGTCTCTCCGGCCTCCTGTGCGTCCACTTTGTTAGGGGACTGAGAATCATCAGGCCGTGTCTTGATGAGCTTCGGCAAACGTGTGCGATCAGAGAAGCATCTGTGAAGATGCATTTATCCCCCAAGGAGATGACCTCCACCCACCCCACTGCTGGACACCCAGGCACAGCCTGGCCAGCTTCCACCGTGGCTCCTTTGCCCTCCTCCAGAACCCTGAGCGCAGTGGTGGCGTGTCCCTGCGGTGTGGCCCGCGGGGGCTGGGTAGTGCTGTTTCACACTCACGCCAGTGCTGATTTGGCTGGTTGCCTGTGGTGATCCCACAGCTGGAAATGTCAGCGTGCGGGTTTTGCAGGAGGACCTGCATCTTCGTGTTTCTGGGGAGGAGAGCCCGAGAGCACATGTACCGGTCGTGTGCCCCAGAAGGGGTTGCGCTTGTCCTGGCCCCTCCTGGGTGCCCACCTGCAGAGTGCAGGTGACTCAAGGCTTCCCACGGCCCGAGCTGGTCCCCGCGGCTGCGCCCGAGACCTGTGGCTGGCCTGGCCGAACCGGGAACAAGCCACCACCTTGCGCCCTTGGGCTTCGTCCCGTTCCCTGAGCCTCCTTGATCACCTTCCCAGTTCCATCGCTGCAGCCTGCAGGTTCCCATCTTAGCACTGCGCCACAGCCCAGGGGAAGGTGCTCCACTTCCTGCGGGTGCAGAGGGGACAGCAGGTGGCGGAAAGTCCAGGGCCATTCCGTGCCCCCACCTGCACAGCCCTGGCTTTGCTCTCGGCGGGAGGGAGCCAGGGGCGTCGTCGACAACCTGTACCCCGCCACCCTTCTCCCCTGCTCGGGCACCGACCCTGCTGCCCATCATGTTTTGTTCTTTTCCCACCAGGAAGCTTCTCAGATGACTCTGCCGCCCTCTTTGAAGTCCCTGACACGTGGTAACCGAGACCCTCGGACCCCAGTGGCTGGCGCTGCCACTGCTGCCGGTGGAGGAGGAGGCCGGCAGGCACACAGGGGAGGCGGGGGCGTGCGGCACCCCGTGCATCTCCCAGGAAAATCACCCTTCGGACTCGCGTGGCCGTGCTTCTCCTCCTTTCTGATGTTGAACTGTGCTTGTCCCCGGGAGGGTCGTGCGTGGGCCTGGACGTGAGCTGGGAACTGGTGTCGTCCTCCCGAGACTGCTCTCCCGTCGTGGCCCCTGTGTGTGAGAATCCGCCTGATGGGAACACAGAGAGCTGGGCGTGGGCCAGAGAGAGGGAGGCCGCCCAAGCGGCGGGCCCAGGTTCCATCCCCCGTGACGCATGGTCCCCCCGAGCCCTGCTGGGGTGACCCCTGGGCACAGAGCTGCCTCCAGGCTCTGCCAGGTGTTCCACCCCCAAGGAAAGGTACCTCTGCAAAACAAGACGACAGAAGGCTGCCTTCCCGGGGTGCCGCCAGCCCAGCTCTGTGGGGTGGGAGCACTCCCATCTCCTGACACCCACGGGCCCAGCCGTGTCTGGCCATCTCAGCATCGTGTTGGTCTGCCTTGAGGAAACTGCCTGCCCAGATCACCCCGGAGAGGGCCTGAGCCTCCGTCCAACTGGGGCCTGGAGAGTCACTTCCCTTGGCAGCATTGGGGAGTCCCCATACCAGCATGCAGGGCTATACAAGCCGCATTCTGTACCCCACCCCCTCTGGGCCCCCAGCATGGTCTGACCCTCCACGCCATGGCCGGGCCCCGTGTCCCCCAAGCTGTGTGTTGGAGACAGCTGAGCAGCCTGGCCCTGTCCCAGTCCAAAATCGTTTGTGTCCCTACCCCCCCCCCCCCACATACACACACAGAGCAGAGTTCTGGCTTCACAGAGATCATTGTTAGCTGTTGAACATTTTTGTATTATGAAATTAAAAATCTAAAAATGAAAGCTGTATTTCTGAAAGAGGAAAATCAAAGACATTTTCATAGGATCTTTCTGAGTGGCGTTGGTTTGGATTCCCTCCCCTCTCCTCTCTCTCTCTCCTAAGCCAAAGCTGGATTCCAGCTCTGCCTCTCCGTGGTCTCACGCACCCCAGAGCTGTCCAGGCTTCCGGGATGTCGCCAGCCTGGGCTTTGCTCCCTCTTTCCCCTCTCGCCCCTTGGATTCCGTCAGGAGCAGAGGCAGGGCGCCCCTGGCTGCAGGAGTGAGGGGCGGGGGTCCCCTCTGAGCTCAGAAGTCTGCAGAGTCCCATGCTGACCCCCATCATCGAGAGCCCTCCAGCCCTGCTCTCATCCCCCCCTCCAGTGGCAGCCCTAGACCCACCCCCCTGCAGCTGCTGGTAGGGAAGTGTGAAGACAGTCACTCCGGGCAGTGAGACCGACCCTGCAGGGAGGCACTGAGAACCATCCCCAAGCCGGGTGCCCACGCTCCATCTTGTGTTCTTGCTGGAGTCACCGTGCAGTGCAAGCAAGGCTGGGCAAGGGGGAGAGATGTCCACTCTTGGGTTCTCAGTGCCCCGTGTGTTTTGTGACTGCCCGCTCCTGTCTGAGAACAAGCAGACAGGAGAGGCCAGGGGCTAAGTGGGAAGCTGGAGGCCGGGAGGAGCCAGAAGCCTTCCTGGTGAACTCCCTGCTTCATGGCAGTTTCGGAGATCACAATCTTCAGAAGATTGCTTTTGTGTCATTTTCCCCAGCCTGTTGAGTGTAATCACTACCCCAAGGCCCTGTGGTGGCCTTGGCGCTCTTCTCCATGGCAGAATGACCAGGCTGCTTGTTTCTGGTGAGGACTCGAGCGAGCCACACTCCTGGCAGCTTCCCAGTGTTCCCTGTAAGGGATGACCCAGTGCCTTGGACACACTGCCACAAGCCACATTGTGGCGGCACCTGATGGATCGTCAGAGTCATGGAGGCATGTGGGTGATGGTTGGTCTCTGCATGACATTCTTGCATTCTGTTCTCTAGTGGCAGCTTGATACTTGGAAGAGCTGTCTTGTAACTGGCACTGCATCCTGTTTCTGCTACACTCCAGCCCAAGACCCCAGCACACCCCCTTAAATTTTAGAGCCCACATCTGTTGGAATCATGCAGAGTTCTCTGAGTCACTCCACTCGGTGAGACACTCTCAGATCCAGGCACATTGTTGCCTAAGGCAGGATTTCCTTTCTTCCCGTGGCCAAACAGTGCGTCAGTGCATGTATGTTTATGCACCATGTCCTCTCGATGCGCTTACCTGTGAACACTTACCTGTATTTGCTTTCACATCTTGGTTCTGATGAGTGTACCACTCATTATGAATGTGTGCGCACCGACCAGGCACGTGGATATGTGGATGTATGTGCTTTTGAGAGGCCGTTTCTACACCCTCAGGATCGAGCACCGACATTAGGGCTGGTGAATGAGGCGTTTGGAGGGTCCTCCAGAAGGGTTTCCAGGGAGGGTGCACCAGTCTCCAGCCCACCCACGATGTACTGGGGCTTCCTCCTCTCCACATCTGCACCCACGACTGGCAGGTCTTGTCTGCCTCACTCTTGGGCGTGCAGGGTTCAATCCCTGGCACTGCAGGGCCCGAGCAGCAAATCGTCCTGCAACTTCATTCATTGCATGTGGTGCTCAGGCTCCCACTTCCTAGCCGTGCTGCTCACTGCCACCATTTTTTGGCGGTGCACACCAGGATTGCACCGCTTTGTACGTGGTACTTCCAACGTACCTGTGGGGTGACCAAAAGTTGCCCTGCAGTGCTGGGCTCACAGATTGCAGAGCCACCAGGATTGGACATAGCGCATGTGGCAGCACCGAGAATTGAACTCACCCCGGGCTCTTAAGTCATGGAGTTGTCCCCCAGGCCCCTGTGACTGGAACAAGGTTCTCACCATTTTCTCCTTTTGGTTCTCGATGGCTCTGCTACATGTTGGGAAGCTCCTACCCCCACCTCCACCCCACCGCCTCCCTCTAGGCTTGTGTTGCTGAGAGGACATGTTCTTGCCCAAGTTTCTGGAGAAGGACAGGTAGGAGGAGGGGGTTCAGTGGTCAGGAGATCTGGACTCCAGCACCCTTGACTTGGCAGCATCCTCCAGCTATCACACGGACAGATTTGGGTTCAGAGTCAGGGCTCCATATGGAGGTGCTCTGACTGCCATCCCCAGGGTGGCTCTGGAGAGAGGGAGTTCTCAGGGTCTCCGACTCGGAGAGGGGTTCCCCTCCTGGCTAAGAATTTGGTTGTTGTAATCTTGAGAGTCTTGTTTTACCCAAACATAGTCTGGATTCTCCCACCCTGCCCCCAGGTCCCACAGATTGCCTGGCAGGTCTTTGGCAAATGTCTGCTGGCATAGAGGGAGCATGAGGCTGGGTGGCATGCTGGGGACATTGTCCTGGAGTTGCCAACCTAGAATAGTCTCAACTGGTTGCAGTGCTGCCCCTTCTCTCCCCGCCTCCAAAATGATAAATATCCCCACCCTAACCCCAGGCTGCTGTGAGCATAACCTTAACCTTATTTGGAAACAGCATCTTCGAAGCTTCAACTAATGAAGGATCTTGGGGTCATTCTAGATTTGGGAATGGGTGGGGCTAAATGTGGTTGCTGCTGTTTTAAAATTTTTAAATTTAGTTTTGGACTACACCCAGGTGTGCTTGGGGCTTACTCCTGTCTGCGTGGGCTCAAGGGACCACATGGGGTGCCACAGATGGAATCCTGGTTGGCTGCATGCAAGGCAAGTGCCCTACCCGCTGTACTATCTTGCCAGGCCCAGCGATGGACTGGTGTTTTACAACAGGAAGGAGTGAGTCAAAGATTTGGGGCCCCCAGACACCGAGGAGAAGCACGGAGGGAAAGGCCATGCGGGAGCAGAAGCTGAGACTGGGGTGACACGTCTCCAACTCCAGAACGCCCATGGATTGCCATTGCTGTCGAGGGAGTTGGGGGACAGCTGTCCACAGAGCCTCTAGGAGGACCCAGCGCAGGCAGCAGCTCGTCCAGACAGGGGGGACACTGCCATCCCCTCCTCAGTCCTGGGTCGCCAGGGTCCTTGGGAGCAGATACAGGAGAGAGACGTAGGACAACTCACCTCACACACCTTCAGTGAAATTGGGAGTGTGCGGGAGGCAACAGGGTGAGTGTGTGAGGAGCCCCCCCAGGAGTGACCCCTGAAGTCCCCTGGGTGTGGGCCCCAAATCCAAGCCGAACAAAAAACCTGAGAGCTGGGGGCCGGAAAGATAGCACAGCGGGTAGGGCATTTGCCTTGCACGCAGCTGACCGGGTTCAAATCCCAGCATCCCATATGGTCCCCAGAGCACTGGCAGGAGTGATTCTTGAGTGCAGAGCCAGGAGGAACCCCTGTGCACCGTCAGGTGTGACCCAAAAAGCAAAAGCAAAAAACAGAGAGCCCAAAAAAGAACCCATGATCTGGGAGGAGCTGATTTACAGGGGAGGGATGTGGCATCACGCCTGACTGACAACGAGCAAGGGCTCCGTTTATATGAAGGAGTGTGGCATCATGACTTATTTACATACAGTGGGCGTGGCACCACGGTTTGGAGTGTGCAGTCTCCTGCCTCCGCACCTGCCTGTCCTCACCGGGGCCCCTTGGAGGAAGGTGGGTTGAGTTTCCCTCCCCACCCCGAGCAGAGCCCCAGCAGCTGAAGACCTCCGGTTCCAGCCACAGCCATGCTTAAGACCACTCTCCACACGTTCGGACGAGCCTCACACATGAAGGAACCGGCAGAGGAACCCAGGTGTGTGAACCCGGGGCACAGACCTCTAAGCCTGCTCGGATTGGGACTGGGGCCTCCTCCACCCAGATCCCCCATCTTCTAGGTGTTACACCCACCAATTGCCCCTGGAGCCGTATAATCCCACCAACGGCCAAGACCCAGAGACTATAAAACCCTGCTCCCGGAAGCACGCAGCTGCATTTGCGGTCGCGTGACTTATTATCTAGGTCTTATTCCGGAGAACCTGGCAGGCTACCAAAAGTATCGTGCCCACATGGCAGAGTCTGGCAAACTCCCTGTGGCGTATTCAATATGCCAAAAACCAGTAACAATGATGGGTCTCATTCTCCTGACCCTGAAAGAGCCTCGAATGTGGCACTTTTTAAAATATCAGGGCGAGGACGAAGGAGCTGTTACTGGGACCTGCTTCAGGCCATCGATGATCAACAGGATGACAGTGATACAGTGATACAGTGGAGTGTGCCAACATAACTGATTTACATGGGAAGGGGTGTGACAGCATGGCTCATTTGGGCAGGGGCGTGGCCCACTGGCTGCTTCGCATACCAGGGGCGTGGCAGTGTAACTGATTTTCACACCCAGAAGAGGCTTTGCCCCCGGAAGGCCAAGTCCACACGTGGCTGGGCACGTGGCCGAGGGTGAAGTCACGTGGTCTAGGGAAGTCAGATTCGCCGTGGTGCGTGCCCCGCGCCCAGCACGGAGCCGGGGATTCGGGATCCAGAGGTCCAGGGGAGGACAGCAGCCAGGCTCCGGGCCCCAGGAGATCAATGCTCGTGGACCGGCTGCTCCCCCGGAGTCTGGGGGTCGTGATGTGCCGGGGTTGGAGACAGTTTGCTTGAGCCCTTGCTGTGTCCCTGGGAGGTGGAGTTGGTGCCCCCAGCTGGACCCCTGTGAGTCAGAACTCCAGGCTCAGAGTTTCTAATACTGTGGGAGTCGGGGGCGGGGGCGGGAGAGTGTGAGGTTCTGAGAGATGGGTGGGATGAATGCCCTGGGGAAGCTTTCTGTTTGTTTTGGGGGGTTGGTGTGCGTGTGTGTGTGTGGGGGGGGTCTTTTTGGGTCCCACCCAGCGATGCGCAGGGGTTCCTCCTGGCTCTGCACTCCGGAGTCACTCCTGGCGGTGCCCAGGGGACCCTATGGGATGCAGGAGATGGAACCTGGGTCTGCTGCATGCAAGGCAAACGCCCTCCCCGCTGTCCTGTGGCTCCGCTCACCCCCAGCCCCCGAAGCCTTTGGAGGTGCACGGGAAATGAGTAGGACATTTTGG